ATTCAATAATAATGCCTACAATATACTGGATGTCTACTCTGAACCATAAATGCTGTAATGCTGTTCTCTGTGTGTGTGTCTCTCTCTGTCTCTCTCTCTTTCCACATACACACACATATGCATGTATGTGTATACACATACACACACATATATGTGTAAAGTAGTTTGTTTTTCTTTTATTAAACATATGGTAAAATTTAGGTTCATAATATTTACCCAAAGTTACATATTTTTAAATTGACAAACCTAAAATTACCTCTTCTAAAAATATCGGCACTTTCCCTTGTATTCTGTCAGTTCTGTTGGTCAAAATTAAGTCACATAATTTAGAATGATAGTTTTTCTTGTGGTTTCTGCCTCATAAGAGATAAAATTATCTGTAAGGCTGATCCAGTTTTAATAATGTACACTGTAAGCAGAAAAAGGCATGAGCTTGTGTCAGGACATTTGACGTTGCTTAATGTTACTGCTTTGCTTTGGTTCAGGTTTGTCACCTCCATTAAGAAGATATCATCCATATCCTCTGCCCCACTGGCTAGTTTGTAATAGAAAGGTGATTTCAGAAGAATGCATTAAAGATTAGAAGTTTATGTTATAACCAAAAAATAATAATTAGAATGAAATGAATTGTTTCCTTAATAACATTGACAGCAAGCAGGGATAGTCTATATGCTTCATGCTTTCTTGATTTTGTGCCTTGACAAATTTTTTTTTTTTTTTTTTTTTTTTTTTTGAGATAGAGTCTTGCTCTATCACCCAGGCTGGAGTGCAGTGGTGTGATCCCAGCTCGTTGCAACCTCCGCCTCCCCAATTCAAGCAGTTCTCCTGCCTTAGCCTTCTGAATAGCTGGGATTACAGGCATGTGCCACCCCACCTGGCTAATTTTCATATTTTAGTAGAGACAGGGTTTCACCACATTGGTCAGGCTGGTCTCCAACCCCTGATCTCATGATCCACCTGCCTCAGCCTCCCAAAGTGCTGGGATTACAGACATGAGCCACTGTGTTCGGCCTACTAATCTTTATTGCATTTAACACTGGCCCTTGCCCTCCAACTCCCACCACTTATTTGTTAAAATCCTGCTCAGTGTTGAAGACCTGCCTAGTCCCAATGCAACCTGATTTCCAAAGCTCTCTCTAATATGTTCCCTCCTTCACAAATAAAGCACAAATCTCTTTTCCATTTTCCTGTAATGTTGCTCATCTCTAATAGCACAGTCCACAGATTATCAAAGTCATTTACAATAATTTTTCATCTTTTCTTTAAGAATAGCCCTGGCTGGACGTGGTGGCTTATGCCTGTAATTCCAGCACTTTGGGAGGCTGAGGCAGGCAGATCACGAGGTCAGGAGTTGGAGACCAACCTGGCCAAAATGGTGAAACCCCCTCTCTACTAAAAATACAAAAAATTAGCTGGGCATCACAGCACACACCTGTAATCCCAACAACTTGGGAGGCTAAGGCAGGAGAAATCCTTGAACCTGGGAGGCAGAGATTGCAGTGAGCTGAGATCGTGCCACTGCACTCCAGCCTGAGTGACAGAATCAAAAAAAGAATGCCCAGGCACATGGCCCATGCCTGTAATCCCAGCATTTTGGGAGGCCGAGGCGGGTGGATCATGAGGTCAAGAGATCGAGACCATCCTGTCCAACATGGTGAAAACTCGTCTCTACTAAAATACAAAAATTAGCTGGGCATGGTGGCAGAAGCCTGTAATCCCAGCTACTCGGGAGGCTGAGGCAGGAAAACTGCTTGAACCCCGGAGGCTGAGGTTGCTGTGAGCCAAGATGTCTCCACTGCACTCCAGCCTGGTGTCTGGCACCTGGTGATAGAGTGAGACTCTGTCTCAAAAAAAAAAAAAAAAAAAAAAAAAAAAGAATAGCCCTAGTGTCCTCCAAAAAATAAAATTAGCTTACTACTTCATCATCCTTAAGATCTGAAAAAGAAAAATTCTCGGTCAATCAAAATGAACATTTTCACCTCTGTGTGACTTCTTTATTATTCTTACATATAATTAATTATGTTTCTATGGGTGTTGAAGCAGCAATAGCCTGTAGACATTTTTAGCATGTGCTCTTGACAGCAGCTGAAAGATATTTTGGGGAGAAATTTTAATTTAAATGTCCAAAAATTGTACAAGGGAAAATCCATCTCTGGATAATTCTGTATACCAAATACATAGTTTGGTATTATTTGCAAATTACATATGAATGGGGTGAGGGTGGGAGTGAGGGCTTGGAAAGAGACCTTTAGGTTTCTAAAGATCTCAGTGTTCTGATTTCTACTTGTGGCTTCTCAGATTTCCATTCGTTTTATCCCCCAGTCATATGATTCACCTTCTCTCCTAATAGAATTTCAGAGTGAGTTTTCTTCTCCTTTTACCTCATGAGCAAAATAAATTCTTCCGTTACCTTATTCAATGACTGTATATCCTATGGCATTTGATTTATTTCAATACGTTAGTATGCATAGCTTGCTTTGATCAGTTTCAACATGCAGAGCTATTGTTTAGTTCTGCAGTGCAGAGCTGAAGTGGGCCCTGTGGCTGTGGCAGATGTATACAGTGACCTGGGACACAACTTGTATCAGTTCATCACCTCCTGAGAATATTAAAACAGAAAGGCAAGACCTTTTGGGGCTCTCTCTGTTCATCTTTCCATAAGAGCTATGTTTGCTGTTTGAATTTTGGGGCACAGTAGTCCACAATACCTTTATTCTTTTAAAAGTATTGATATTTAATTCTTATACTTCTGAGAAAGACTAAAAATATTTTCATTGTATATAATAGTAGTTTAGCTGTGATTTTAATAGAGAAAATGCCTTAAATAATTTAATTTGGGATAAACAAATATTAAGTGAGCAGGAATTGAGCTTGATAGGAAAGTGGGGCGAGCTGCTGGATTGCGTCTTTGTTCTTTAGATATTAATGGTTGACAGGCTGCTTATGCACATCCAATCGTGAGTTTGTTAGGGTCCCATGGTGCCTATTAAGGCTTTCCAAGTAACGACTTCACTTCACTGGGTGCTAAGTGCTGCGGGTAGATGGGTGATGTTCAGATTCAAGTGTTACTTCTGCCTGAAGGCCCTATTTTTTGAAATACGGAGGTAGCTTGTAAATTTGCTCAATGCAAGGGAACAAAAGTTACTGCTATTCACCAATTAAATTCTTTCCTCCCAATGCAGAAATCAATCTGTACTTTAGTCAGTGGGGGAGATAAAACTCTAGAACAGCAACCAGCTGTGATGGCAGAAGGAAAGGCAATAAAAGTTTAGAGGCAGGAGCCATGCTGGGCTAAAACAGGGGAATAAAATGGACTGGAACTGACACTGGACTGAAGAACATGTATCCTATATTCTCAGCCTATGCTGATAGAATCAAAATGGACCATGTAGGCAAAGAGCTGGTTTGAAAAATCAATTCAAGCAGCTTGGTTGTCTCTCAGAGGTGAGGAGGAGCAGTCTTCAGGCCATATCCCAAGAGAGGGCAGAAAGCAAAACTCACTTTGCTTTAAGTGATTATTAAAGCAAAGCCCAGGAGATGATTGTTGAAGTAATGAAACAGACATATTATGGGTGAGCAGAGACCAGGTGACCAAGGACAGGTGGGCTGAAGGCAAAGTGCATTAGAATGAATAACCCAAGGCATTGATTGCAACTAACATTAAATTGGAAAACTTTCAGGGATAGTGACTAACACATCACATGGCCCACAGCACTGAAAGGAACACATATGTAAGTTAATCGAGCTAATGTAGGTCAGGTCTTTGATCAGAACATGTATATTTCAAAAATGGCATTCACAGACAATGATGTCTTTTATGTGTGTTTACCAGTAAATGGTTGTAGAAAAGAATTCTTTAGTGAAAAAGTAGCCCAGCGGTACTGGAACAGTGAATTGGCTCTACAGTTTTATCCATGTCCAACTCCCCTTCCCTCACTGATTCCTGCCTTATGAACTAGAATTGTGTTTTATTCCTGCTGTGGAAAATGGGGGTGGCTCCATGTCCTTCACTGTAACTACACAATCTCTGATGGTTTTGTCACACTTTTTTTCAATCTGCTAGCCCACGGATTGGCAGCTTTCTGGGTCAGCAATAGAAAAACGGTAATCCCAGATATTCCTCCTTTTAAAATGATATTCTTAGGATAATCCAATATTTTCATTATTTTGCATCAAAGGACACTGCAAGAATAGCTCACAGGACTGCAGCCTTGAAGAGCATGGGGCTGGAGCTTCAGAGGCCACCAGCTTACTTGTGTTCTTTTCTGTTGAGCTCTGAATAAGCCATACACAGGGAACGTCACAGTGGAAACTCTGCATTATTGATCACAATTTCCTATTTTGTATTTTTTAAAAGTTTCACTTCTCAGAGGGCCTAGATCAGTAGTCCCTTTAGATCAGAGAGTTTTTGAACCTTCATTCAACCACAGAAATGTAAAGTTGCCTAGGATTGTGGTATGCATTATCCCAAAGTGAGTTACTTTGCATGTTGTGTCTCCATGGACAACGAAAAATGCACACACCAATACACACATGTCACTTCTGGCCTTCTCCAGTGGCATTGGCCATGAGTAAACTTGAGCAGCAGGCAGAACATTATCAGCATGGGTCTGGGACATGTTCCAGGTTTTTTCTAGTCCTAATTTCCATGAGCTTTGGGCATTGCCCTGCTAAGTATTTATGAGCAAGGGACTGCCCCACCATTCCTCAGCAGCACTGTGCAGAAAGTGACTCTATCCACTAGGGGAAATGAGAGGACCATGAGCTCAAAGCTTTGCCTGGCAACCCGGTGCCAGGCTGACCACGGTGAAATCCAACACAAGGCAAAACCTAGTGGCCTTGACTCCAGGCTGTTGCCTGTGAACAGAGCTACTGGACCTGCCACTGTGCCAGATAGATACTCCCAGCCTTGGTGAGACAGTCTTGTGTACCAGCCGACATCACCATTGATGCTCTTCAGCAGCCTTGAGACACAAATAAACCTCAGTGGCAGGCAGGCTGTAGCAGTGTGGGCCTCAGTTATCACCCTGTGCTGTATTGATCTCTGGCTGCGGGCTTTGGGTGTGACCCAGCATTACAGCAGCTGTGGTAGCCACGGGATTGCTGTTCTCTTCCTCTCATTGCCCCAGGAAGCACAGCACAGACACAGGCAGTGTTTGTTTGCTTAAAAGAAGGGAAGTGAAGCAGGCACATGTTGCCTTGAAGCCCAGTGCTGAGCCCTGCACTGTGCAGAGCACTGAAGTGCCTGATCCCAGCCAGGGGACCATAAACAGAATCTCTGGGCCTGTCCCAGTCCCGTGGGAAAACCTGCAAAGCCAGTGGATTGGAGTAGCCACTTCAAGCCCTCTAGTTCTTTCATGCCAGAACAACACAGCAGCTTTGAACATGTGGCAAACCTAGGCTTAGAGCGCTCCCTAATGCTGAAAAAGAAGCAGTGACCACAGGAGAACACAATAACCAACCTGCTTAGAATCTCTGAAAGAATAAGCACAAACAAAGCCAGATTGCTGAAGCTGTACTAAATATCTAATCATTTAATGTGCTTATTTTATGCCCACAAGCATCAAACGCATTCTTAAAACCATGATTTGAAAAACAGAGCACCAAAGATTGACACTAAAGTCATGAAGATATGTGGTCTGATAGTCAAAGACTTGAAAACATGTGTTTTAAGAAAACTCCAAAGAATATATCAGTAAAACACAGAGGAACAATTCAAGATTTTAAAAAATATTTTTGAAAGAAAATGTAATTTAAATTTTAATAAGGATTGCATTAAATATGTAGATCATTTTGGTAGTTTAGATGTATTAACAATATGGTCATCAATCTATGAACATTCAATTCTCTAAGAATATAGAAAAGAATAGTAATTTTCATACTCCTACACAACAATAAACACAAAATACTTCTGTGACAGACCTGTATGGTTCTTTCCACACATCAGAACCAAAGGATTCTGCAGGGGCTTCTCCAGCAGACAGCAGCAGGTGTCTTCTAATTCACCTGAATTCAGACCCTTCCTGGAGATAAAATCAGATCCACGGGTTAAGGTCTCCAGCCCACGTGATGCCCCTCACTCCCACTTCAGACGCCAGTCATAAATCTGGACCTCTGCGAATTCTGACTGAGCAGCTCTACCTTGGAGTTACCATGACCACCACCTCAGGTTCAATTAATTTGCTATAGTGGCTCATAGAACTCAAGTAAACCCATTACTTATTACTGATTATGAGTAAATACTTGACTGATTTACTTGTTTACCCATTAACTATAAAGGATATTACAAAAAATACAGATGAACAGGAAGATGGAAGAGCTATACAGTGAAAATATGTGGGAAAGAGCATGGAGCTTCTGTGCTCTCTCTGAGTGCATCACCCTCTAGAAACCTCCAAGTGATCCTATCATTAGCAATTGGTGAGAGATTCAGTCCCTATCCTTTCCAGGGAGGTTTGGGGTGGGGATGAACATTCCAACCCTCTAATCACAGGGTAGGTTCACCTGGCAACCATGCCAATCAATGGTTGGTGGCAACCTCCAACTAATGGTCATCTCATTAGTATACAAAAAAGCTCATCACTTGATAGATTTTGAATATTTTAAGAGCTCTACTTTAAGGCACAGGAACAAAGCAAAGTAGATATTTATCAATAGCACAGAAATATTTTTATTTCTATAGCTAATGTATTTCTGGTTTTAATCATGGGATATTTGCATTTTCACTAGTCTGAAAACCTCAATTATCACACTGCCAGGCTACAAACTATACTACAAGGCTACAGTAATCAAAACAGCATGGTATTATTACCAAAACAGAGACACAGACCAATGGAACAGAACAGAGACCCCAGAATAAACACCACACATCTACAACATCTAATCTTTGACAAACCCAGCAAAAACAAGCAATGGGGAAATGACTCCATGTTTAATAAATGGTGTTCGGAAAACTGGCTAGCAATGTGCAGAAAGCAGAAACTGGACCCCTACCTGTCACCTTACACTAAAATTAACTCCAGATGGATCAAAGATTTAAACATAAAACCTAACACCATAAAAACACTAGAAGAGAACGTAGGTAAAACCATCCAGGACATAGGCATAGACAAGGATTTCATGACTAAAACACCAAAAGCAATGGCAATAAAAGCCAGGATAGACAAATGGGATCTAATTAAACTCCAGAGCTTCTGTATAGCAAAATAAACCATCATTAGAGTGAATCGGCAACCAACAGAATGGGAAAACGTTTTGCAATCTACCCATCTGACAAAGGGCTAATATCCAGAATCTACAAAGAACTAAAACAGATATACAAGAAAAAACAAACAACCCCATTCAAAATTGGGTGAAGGATATGAACAGACACTTTTCAAAAGAAGACATATATGAGGCCAATAAACATATGAAAAAATGCTCATCACTGGTCATTAGAGAAATGCAAATCAAAACCACACTGAGACATCATCTCACGCCATTTAGAATGGCGATCATTAAAAACTGGAGACAACAGATGCTGGAAAGGATGTGGAGAAATAGGAACACTCTTACACAGTTGGGTAAACAAGGGAGGTGTAAATTAGTTCAATTGTGGAAGACAGTGTGGCAATTTCTCAAGGATCTAGAAATAGAAATTCTATTTGACCCAGCAATCTCACTACTGGTTATATACCCAAAGAACTATAAATCATTCTACTATAAAGACAATGAACACATATGTTCATTGCAGCCCTGTGTACAATAGCAAAGACGTGGAACCAACCCAAATGCCCATCAATGATAGACTGGACAAAGAAAATGTTGTACATATACACCATGCAATACTACACAGCCATAAAAAATGAAGAGTTCGTGTCCTTGGTAGGGACTTGGATGAATCTGGAAACCATCATTCTCAGCAAACTGACCCAAAACAGAAAGCCAAGCACCGTATATTCTCACTCATAAGTGGGTGTTGAACAATGAGAAAACATGGACTCAGGGAGAGGAGCATCACACACAGGGGACAGTTGGGGGGTAGGGGAGAGACAACAGGGGGTAGGGAGGGATAACATGGGGAGAAATGCCAGATATAGTATGCACCTAAAGTAAAATAAAATAAAAAAGAAAAGAAAAAGAAAAAAAATGTAAACTCTAGGGCTCAACTAAAAAGCAAGACTCAATTATATGCTGCCTATAAGAAATGCACTTTACATGTAAAGGTACTAATTGATTAAAAAGTTGGATAGGGCTAATGTCAACACTTGACAGAAGAAAGCTGAGCAGGAGTGGCTGTGTATTACCAAAGTAGACTTTACAACAAAAAATAGTCCCCACAATAAACAAGGCCGTATCACAAAGATAAAAGGCTCAATTAGTCAAGAAGACACAAATATACTAAATGTTTACGCCCTGAATAACATAACAGCTTCAAAATATATGAGGCAAAATGGATAGAGCTTCAGAAAGAAACAGAAAATTTCAAAGTAACCTGAAGGTTCAATAACCTTTACTCAATAACTGATAGAACTAGGAGGCAGAAATCAATGAGAATAGAGTAGAATTGAACACCATGCTTTTCAAGTACCCACGGAACACTTAGCAAAACAGACCACATTCTAGGCCATACAATAACTTTCAATGGAAAAATTAAGTGAAAAGGGTTTAAGTCATACAAGGTATGTGCTGTGACGACAAAACCATCAAATTAGAAATTAATAGCAAAAACGGCTGTAGGTGGTACTTAAACATTTGGGAACTAAGTAACACAAATCTAAATAACCCCAAATGAAATAATAAAAAAATAGAAAATACTTTGAACTGAATAAAAATAAAAGTACAACATATCATAAATTGTTGAATGTCCCTACAACTATGCTTAAACACACATTTTTAGCACTTAATGTCTATATTAGATGAGTCTCAAATCAATTACTTTGACTTCTATTTTAAGAAATTAGAAAAAAGAAGAGAACACAAAACCCAACGGATGCAGATGAAAGAAAATCATAAATATCTCCTTTGGTCTGATTGTTTGGGTCTCTTCAAAATTTGTATGTTGAAACTAAATCACAGAGGTGATATAATTAGGAGGTAAAGCTTTTTGAAAGTAATTAGGTCATGGGGACTACGTCCTTACGAATTGATTAATATCTTTATATATGAGATACCAGAAAGCCTGTTCAGCCCTTCTGCCATGTTAGCACACAAGGAAATATATTTCATCTATGAATCATGAAGTGGTCCCTCAACACACATCAAGCCTAACAACACCTTGATATTGAACTTTGTAACTTCCGGAATTGTGAAAAACCAATTTATTTGTTTTTAAACTACCCAGGCTATAATTTTTTTAAAAAACAATGGGGCTAAAGGACCAAGATATCAAAAATAAAATCAGTAAAACATTAAAACAGTAAGGAAAGTCAATAACACCAAACACTTTGAGATCAATAAAAGCAATAAACCTCTATCTTGCTAGACTGCCCAGGAAAAAGAGAAAATACAAATTACTAACTTCAGAAATGAGTAATGTGACATTATTGCAGATTGTACAGATGCTACAAAAAGGCAGTATTATAGAACTTATGTTAATAAGCATGACAAATAAAATTCACAAATTCCTTGAAAAATGAAAATTATCAAAACTCAATCAAGAATAACCTGCATTACCCTAGACCTATAAAATAAAAGAGTCATAGGAAAACCTTTCTACAAGGAGAATTCCAGGTACAGCCAGATAGGCTGGTGAATTCTACCAAACATCTTAGAAAGAAATGATGGTATTCTACACACTACAATTCTTACCCCTTCCCCCAAATAAAAAGAAAAACTATATCCCAACCAATTCTATATTGTTAGCATTGCCCTGAACCGCAACTCAACAGTAATATTACAAACAAAAAAACTCCCTCATAAGCATGGATATAAAAATTCGATCAATTTGTGAAGCAACTGAGATGACCTCCAATAGGTAAATGGATAAAATGTGCTACAGGCATACAATGAATTATTACTTAGTGCTAAAAAGAAATGAGTGATTAAGTCATTAAAAGACATGAAGAAAACTTAAATGTATATTACCAAGTGAAAGATGCCAATCTGAAAGGCTACTTACTATATGATTTTAAGT